AAAATCTAAGTTTCTGATTTTTCTCCTCTGTTTTGTTTGTATCAATATTGCTGTGAGACTGTGTAGGTTTTGGAAACTTTTTTTTTGCCGCCTTGCCTTCTGATGTCATATGGATAAACCCTGAATGACAGTACGCATGCAAGACTCATGTCCACAGGTTCAGTGTGAGAGCTGCCCACAGAGCTCTGACTTGGTTTGCACAGCTTTGCCCAAGGAATGATAACAGGGATATGATTTTTTTTAGAGACAGATCAGTATCGGAATGGAAATTTATTGGTGCATGCTCCTTCATTAAGACCTTCTAGGAGGTGCCCCTTAAATGGCATGCTTTCTATACAGCATCAGTCCTGTGAGCCTAGTAGAGGCAGTATTAAGGCAGAAGATTATGGCTGGTAAATAAGTTTTCAGAGATGCTCTGGAGACTCCCTTACTGCTGTAGTAGGTGGCTGTTGGATCGTTCAGTTAGGAAGGTGAGTGGCTTTCATTGATGTAACAGGGGACTCCAGAATTAAGGAGCTAACGTTGTCACCTGAGGGAGGTGCATTTGGGGTGTGCATCACATGTAACTGTTTTCTTCCTGCTGTCTTTTAGGATGAGCTTCGCAGAGAGATGGTGTATGTGTATCATTCTTTAAAGAACAGGAGAGACACTCACATGATGGGGACAGACGATGACACCACCAGTGAGGAGGGCACAGCACAGGTTTGTCGCCCTGCACACAGAGCAAAAGCCACATTGCCACGTTGGGTTCCGGTGCGTTAGACGAGCTGGACTGAGAGGGTAGCAGGGGCCTGGGTTCTGCTGTACCCTGCAGCACCCAAAGCATTTCTGCCTTTCCTCCAAGTACCTGGACGAGCTGAGGCTGCAACACAGAGGCAGTTAATAGTAGAACTAAGTGATGTAATATCAGGTTTAATTAAATGTTTGAGCTGTTAAAAGGAATTCTTACATATATCTTATGTCCTAGCTTGCAAAGCTACTGGAGTGGCTAAAATATGGTAATTCTGTGTCCTACAGCACGTCCTTTGTTAAGGCTGCTGGATACGCTAGCGCATGGTCAGTAGTGGCAGGGATCACTGCGCCTCGTGCACTATGGTTATACCACATTCAACCCACGATAGATTCTGCATCCACTGGAACACACTGCAGGACAAGGCTGTTTATTTTAGGGGGCGGGTGGGTCAGCAGTGGGAGTAAAGAGTTAACTCTTTTACTGAAATGGAAGGAGGGAACTTTTTGTATTGTTACTAGGGCTGCAGATGGTCTGTCTCCGTTCTTACTCAGGGTACGTACAATGTGCTTCTGCTCAAATCATAAATCCTGCTCAAGAGTGGCTGTGAGCTTTGGAGCTTTGAGTTCCACTTTATGATAGTAATGATAGAGTGGCTCTGTCTGAGGTCTGTGACCTGAAATACGTGAACACAGGTGTGCCCAAATGCACCGAAAAGGCAAAGCAGAAGACAGCCTGGTTTTCGTCTCCCTAATTACAGCAAGGCTTTTTGCCTGACAGTCATTTACCTTTTAAGGTAAATCTCACTGGTCCTCTGGAGTAGAGCATATGGGTAGCTGAGGCTGTACCCTGGCACCTGTACCTTATGTGCACACCCCAGAATACACCTTCCTGCCCGTTAAGGCTCCAGCCATGGTAATGGGGGTCTGCTGTGGTTTTGCCAAATCCTGTCCAAAGACTGGATGTACCAGACAGAAACAAACTTAGGTGACCTTCCAAAAATAATGGGTAGATGTTAGGGAAGAGTGTAAATTTAAAGTTATTTCATTCTTCAGTGTGGAAACCACAGGAAGAAGACAGGCCCTTTAGGCCTCCCTACCTCCTAAGGTGCGCTAGAACATGTAGATGTCCGCTATTTTTCTATTAGGAAAAGTGGCAGGATAATCCTGCATCTTCTGGAGGATGCTCTCAGAAGTACGAGTGTGATGTGGGAAAGCAGCACACACCTGCTGCTCAGTACCTACAGCCTAACACACTGTTGTGCAGTAAGGGACACTGGCACTTTTAGCTGAAGGATTTTTTTGTAAAAAAATTTTTTTTTTTTTTTTTCCGCTATTTTTCTATTAGGAAAAGTGGCTCATGGGCTGCGTTTTCCTTTGTCGTACTTGGATGCACTGAAGCAGATTTGGAGTGGCAGCACTGTTTATGTTAAAGAGCTTAACCTTACCTCAGATGAAGAGAAAGAAAACCTTGCCTTGTCGCTATGGACTGAATGTCTAATTGAAGTTATGTGATGCTTTTGTGAAGTAGTTGCTCCTCTAAGTAGTATTTCTGGCCATTAAGAATCTCTTGAGATAAACATTTATTAAATTACTTTTTTATCCATCCAGCCTTTGGTTTGTATTGCTGCCTAAACAAAGCATTGCAATATATATACACTTTGCTACTTTCTGGTGCCAAATGTTACTTTCCTTTCCTCAGCTTTGGCAAAACGGGCATCGGGAAAAACGGGTGAGCTGCTCGCAGTCCAGCAAGCCATAGCTCCATGGCTGTGGCTGGATGTATCACTCATAGTAACAACCAGTGCTGTTACTCATAGTAACATCCTTTTCCTCTGGATGGATGCCTTGAGGTGGAGGATGTCTAAAAGGTATACACGGAGCAGGCTCCAGGACCTTGGGCAAAAAACAGTAACTTGTTTTTTCATTTGTAAAGTTCACCAGCAGAAACCCTGCTTTGTTCTGCTTGTTTGCCCCGAGAGAACAAAAGCTTCTCGGTAAAAGCTGTGTATGCCGTTTCCCAAAGGGGTAGGATTTTGCCCAAGAAAACCCCTTTCCTCTCAGCTGCGGCCACCGCTGGAATGGACAAACAATGGCATTTAACCTCTGCCTCCCCCAGCACCAATTTAACGTGAAAGTAACCCAAATGTGTAACTGGAATCTGTATCGTCAGTGCTGACTTGGGGGGACTGTGATGGGAGTAGTGCAGTTATTGGAATACTTGAACATCGATGTTTCATGTAAGAACTAATGTAACAGCACAGTCACGTATTCAGTACACTTACTCCTTCTTTGTCCATTTGAAAGGAAATACTTCGCAAGAATTTGCTTGACAACTATAAAAAACTATCACTGTATTTCATTTGTTTAAAAAGAAACCAACAAGCAAAATGTTCCTCCTAAAAAAAGTTTTATACAATTAAAATGTACATGCTTGTATTTTACATTCAAACTCTCTGAAGTACAAAAGCCTGCTCTACTTTGCTATGTAACACCGACCCGCCAAATAAGATGTAGTCATTCTTGGTTTGCAAGACTGGAACTTTTTACACAGGCTTTTAAAATTTCATACGGAAAGCAAATCACATTGTAGAACGCTCGATATACCGACTCAAAAAAAGCTAAACAGGTGCTTTAGTTGGAAAAAATATAATAGGTACATTTGAAGATCTGTTACTTAAACAGTAGATTTATCATAATTTTAGAATGTAAAATAGTAAGTGCAAGTAGATTTTTATTTTTAAATAGTACTATATAGAACTCCCATTTCATACAAAAATAGACATCCATATATTTTATTTCTGTGGCAAACTTAGGGTTATGTGTTTTTATTTGTTTGGGGATAAATCCTGTTTGAATGCACAACTGGAATAGCTACAGCTTTTGGAAACTAAAGTATCTGTCTGTAGCCAATCTATGCTCTTTAAATACTTATAGAAATACCCTGAATATACAAATAAGGAAAAAAAAATACATTTTCAATGAAGTAGATCAATTTAGTGACACTGGAATCAAATGAAGTTACCAGTGATCTACGGGATTTCTCTGGCACGTCAGGTGTTCACAGTCCTGCAGCGTCTGCAGCTCCTTCTGCACTGGTCAGTGCTGAGTGAGGAACGTGCTTTTCAAGCCTATAAGGTCTTTGGCTCTGTCTGTCTGGCGTGGTAGCTGGCAGCCTGGCTGCACAGCGCTGGGATTGAGGACAGCACCAGGATGCCAGGGGCTGGACCACTGGTCAAGTCCTCATCCCTTGGGATGAGATGGATGTGATGTTGATGAGCCACAGTAACGTTAACAAGCAGTTATGCTGTTCTTTTAACATTAAGCAAGCGTTGAAATGCAGGCTGCTAGCACCTGTGAAAATACATACTGGGCTGAATTATTTTCTGAAGGAAGACATGGTTTCAAGACCAAATTACATTGTATTAAATTAATCTATATACATCAAAACAAAATACATCTAGAATGAAAATCAATACTGCTCTAAATGCAGCTAGCCCTTGCAGAAGTCTAGCCTGACCCGGGACCGTTTATTCTCTTTCAATACATGCGCATACGGCTCCACATTAACGGTGACCTTCAGTGATAACTCACAGGTTCATGGGTTGGAAACAGGCCACGGGTCAGCAAAACCAGTTCCTGAATCTGGAAATTTTGGTGGTGGTAAAACAAATGAAGACAAAGGCCTACCAGTAACATTAGGGGGGTGAAAGTCAGGCTTTCTCTACTGCCTCATTGCAGATGCTGAGCTGGTAATTCCAGTTCAAAGTTGTCTTTATGAACAAAATAAACTGCATTTTGGCAAGAGATATGATCTGAGCTTCAGGATCGCTTGGAGCCTACACAGTTTCACTTGGGATGTAACAGCCCAACTCAACCTCTTCCAAGCTCATTAGTGCATTTGTTCTTCAGCGAACTTCCGTCAGTTTGAGGGGGAGGTAAAGACAATGTTTCTGAAGAGCTTTTCCCACGTTATCGCTTGCAGTTCGTATCTTGCAGAACTTTTGTCCAGTCTTCTACATTTACTTCTAATACTTCCGCTGAAGGGTAACAGTGACTTTCACAGGAGAAGCCTCTAAAGAATCGGCTTCCCTGCAGAAAGACATTAGCTCAACCTCCCATCTTCCAGATTTGTGCAAAATTCAGTTGCTTTAGGAGTTGGTGCTTGGTATGAAAGAAAGCAGAGAGGAGTTGCTGCTTAAGGTTCCAGTGGTGTGTGACTTCAGTAGTGGTTTGGTTTTTTCCCCCCTCTAGGTGTCAACAGCCCATACAAGGTCCATCTGTGTGGTGGGTTTTACTCACAATATTTCAATATCCCATTTTTGTGACTGTTTGTCGTCTATCAGCTGATTCATAATGATGTGATTCTTGTCATAATAATTTCCTCCTTAAAAACAAAACAAAAATCATGAAGGAAAAACTGTAAAAAGAAATGCTCAGAAAAGCCTATGCATAATCTTTAAACAGTGTTACTGAGTAGGAAAATTAGCCGAAAAACAGAAATTCCATGAGGTGGGGGGCTGGTGCCTGCACTTCCACCTCTGTGTATTTGTCTCCTTCAAGCGGTCACTTGTCAGCACAGGCCCTGAGCAGCTCCGTTAGTTTGGGAGCAGAAGCTACCGCACACCAGAGTCCTCAAATGTACCTTTGTGCACCGGAACAGCACCTCTAAGGAGACTTTGGTTTTGGCAGACACTGAGCTCCTGCTGTGCGTCTGGATTTTTAAGCGCATAGTGTTACCGCAGAAATGCACAGCTTCACAGACAGATTATTTGGTGTAGCATATACATTTCAACCACAAATTTAGGAAGTCCTTAAAATAAAATTTCTCTCCTTTGAATACATGTAGTGTAGAAGTGACAATGCATTTTTTGTCATTGCACCATAAATAAAAACCCACTAAAATAATTGTTTTAAAGAGCTATCAAGTGGTACCTCGCCACCCTAGTCTTCTGCATTATCTTTTCCTGTAACCTGGGCAGCACAGCTTTCTGATACCGTAGGAGCTGCCGTCAGTATTACTAGCTGCATTTAATGGCTTTGTAGTAACTCTGAATTAGTAATAGTGGTTCAACACCTCTGTTCTGGAACCGGCCATGCTCTATCAGTTCAACATCAGGGGGCTGGGAATTCATTATCGGGAAGTTCGAGCTGCTGAGTTCAGGTGTGTAAGGGCCAGTAGGACAGTGGCTGAAAAGGCTGATGACTTCTGTGGGATGTGCCCTTGCCCTGGTCCGTAAGCCCTGCAGCGGTGTTAGGCTCTCGATTAATGCATTTAGACCCTTCATTTGAGAACACAGCACCGTAAAGCCCCCAGCCTCATAACCAGCCATGGCAGTCACTGCCTTTCCGTAGGGACAGAACCCTGGCGCCCGCAGCAGGGCTTCAACAAACCGTGTGTGAGGAACAGGCATTCCCCAGTGAGGTAGTTCTGCCGTGATGGGTAATTAGAAGGACTGGGACTTGAGCAACGAATTTTAACCAGCCTGAAAACCTCAGGAGTGAGCACTTTTCTCTTTTTGAGCCACACCTATTCCATGGTTGCTTTTCCTTCACCATTTTGTCTTCTGTAAGTTGCATTTCTTGCCATCCGCACTACTGACTCCCTGAGGCAGAACAGTAGATCTGATCAAAATAAACCTCTGGGATCAAGAGTAAGGTTCCCCCCTGCCCTGTTGTTTCTTGTCCCACTGTCAAGCAACTGGGAATAAACCTAACAGGAAAGATAGGCTTCCGTATTTAACCTTAAGTACGGAAAGAGCTGGAATATGGCAGTTAAACTCAATCAAAAAATGCACTTAGAACAGGTTTAGTTGTGGTGGTTGTTTTTTTTTTTTATTTTTTTTTTTTAATACCTTTAATATCAAGCACCAGTTGGTCACTGAGGTATGAACTGATGGTTCCATCCTCATTCAGTCTCCACTTTTGCCTGTCCTTCCCATGTTCTGCCCAGAGCGCGACTTTGGCCCCAGGCACATCTCTGCCGCCAATCACATCCAGACAGGCGTTGTTAGCCTAAGGGACAAGAGGCGAAGTCAGATTCAGGCCACAAAGCCTCCTTTTGTGTCTGCCTTGTTTCTGCTTCAGGCACCAAGCCCACTGCCCTGATCATGGTGTAGCTGGTACCAAGCCTGGCAAGCAAGCTAGGAACAGATTATTCAGCAGTTGACCAGCTGCTTGATCAAAGGACGTGGTCTTTGTTACTTCAGGTGTTTCTTATGTTAAATCATCAGCTTTTTATATTAACAACAGACTGTCAAAGGCAGCTTTAATACAAAATCACTTACTTTCTTCGCATATTACTTTTCAGAGAAATTCTTCACTCTTTAGAGATAATAAAGTTAAACTTGCGACTTTAAAACAAAACCAGCTTTCTACTTCCAGGAACATCAGTCCCATTTAGACAGATGTGCAAAGCAGTCCAGCTTGCCAATGCAGACAGATCAAATCTGCCTACACATAGTAGGAGGATGTAGGTTATAAGAGTTTTGGTTTAAGATGCGTGGGAGAGGCCAAGAGCTATCCCGGTGTTAATGCTGGCCCACAGTAACAGCCAGAAGCGAAGGTGGAGGGACAGCAGGTGATGCAGCCCTCCCACTTCCAGCACCTGGACACTCACCTTGGATTTGAAGACCCCACGACAGTAGTGCCAGATCTGGGTATTCTTGCCATTGTATGGGGACGCGCACACCGATGTTGCTCTTACATCTGCAAGGCTTCCAGCGACTGTCAAATATTTACCTTGGGCTCGGTTCTTCACTCTGAGGTACACTGCTGGCTGCAACAGTGTGAAGGCAGATAGTTACAACACAGAGATTAAGAAACTCCATGTGAGAATGCCTCCCCTCCCATCTTACATCAGTTTTCTAAAGCGTATGTTCTGTTTCCAGTTTCAGGCAAGGATGCTCAGTAATTTTTTGTTGGAAACAGATGTGCACGTAAAGCAGCAGTAAGTGTTTTTCACATACAGACAGACAGCTGTATGCAGCAATGGCAAATAGTTTTTTTAAAAAACGTATTTGTCTATAGAACTAATTCCTGTGATACGCAAGTGTCTCTAGTTCAGCACATTTCACTCATTCCAAGGCCAGTAAATGGGCTGTACTCCACAAGCTTTTTATTCGTTCTCAGGACGCAAAACTTACCAAGTCATGTATCCAGCAACTTCAACCCCCATTAACTGGAATATATGGCAGAGTTACAGCTTTGCTGTTG